TCAATTAATTTAGTTTTATAGTAAAATCAAAGACAAATAACTTATAAATTACCAATAATTCCGTAAAACAACAGAATATGAATGAAAATAAGCAAAAATATCTCAATTCTCATTCTCTCATATCTGATGTTTAATTTATATAAAATAATTTCATTCACTAGAAATTGTTCACAAAATACTTTCCAATTGAATGTTAATATACAATAAATTAATTAACAAAATCTCTCCCATTTGTGATTAAACAGAAGTTTTGTTTCACAAGCACTGAAACATTGTATTGAATTTGTGTGTACTGTATAGTACTATTGTCACAGATTTGCAACATTTTATTTTGATTTTGACGCAAGGAACATATTTAGAAAAGCAAATAAATGTCTATTGATTTATTAATTCATGTTAAAAAATTATATCATTTGAGTTCACTTTAATAACTTATTTATAATTTGTCACTTAATTAACTATAGAGTATTACGATATCATTGGACAATAAATTCATATTAAGGTTATTTTTATTAATTTCGAAATTTGTTTTTTATTCAAATAAATTAAAGCAAAAATTATTGAAATATTTTTTAATGAAGTATTTTTTGTAAATTTTTTGGATTATAAGTCTTATAGGTAATCAAATATAAATTCCAAACAAAGTTATTGATCGTAATAATAGGAAATTAGCTTTTTGTTTGTTATTTCATTTATTGTTTTGATTTACAAATTCATAAACTTATAGGTAATTCTGTAATAATAACACTCATTTAAAAATTGAATTAGACTATCAAAATGGCATAACTGTAATGGCAATGAACTGCATTAAAATTTCAATTAATGAATAAATTGTGATAATGTTTGAGACTAAGAAATCCATGAAAACAATTGATTGATTCACTGGTCATCCAATATCATGTGGAGTTGCGGCCTATCATTGATGGATATTTGGGTCAAGTGGTGGACTGCTTCACATTCGAGGGAAACCTCTCGAAAGTGATTGAAGTGACGGCAAAGAGTAAACTCTTTTACCACATCGTCTCGGATGACAGGATTGGCACTAAACTCATGAGTGAAGTGAACAAAAGGCATCTTCCGGGAGAATTCACTTTCATTGCCGTCAATAAGCTTCTCGTGAAAGCCGTCAGATATCCGGAGCTTGAGGTTAGCAGTGCTTTGATATGTGGATGTGTTTTAAAACAGTTGTAATCCATGTGCAGAACAACGCCCGACCCCTCACCAGTCTATTGAAGTTTGATAAGCGATACGAGAGTGTAATGAGATTCCTATTCGACAGGACACTGGTCTGTCGGAGCCTAGAGTTGGCCACAACCTTCTCCCGGAGCGCTAAACTCGATTGCGTGACAATTGACGGCGACTTTATCTCTAAGAGCGGACTCATGAGTGGCGGCTATTTCGGGGTCAACACCAGAATTGAGGCGTTCCTCCAATGGAAGTCCGTTGTGGCGAATATCGACGCCATTCTGCAAGAGATGAGTGAATGTGTGCGCAGACGACAGCGAAATGAAACGGATTTGATTTCAAACGCGAATTCAATGTCTGAATTGGATGTCAAACATAACGAAACGAAGAGAAAGTTTGATATTCTTAAGGACTCCAAAGAGAGAAGTCATCAGCAGTTGATGGCATTGAATGCCAAACTCGAGTCCATCGGTCGCAGCATATCATCGCTCGAGTCGACCCTTCCGTCGATGAAAGCCAACAAAGAGTCGTTTGAGAGCGAACTCGAGCTCTCACTGGACTCGCAATTGAGCGAAAGCGAGGAGAAGGAGTTGTCGGACATCTTGAGAGACATCGAAGTCATGTCTGCGAAGCACTCAGAGCTCTGTCAGCGACGGAACAAATTTGGTTCAGAGAAGGCGTCACTTGAGTCGGATTTGGATAAGAATTTGGAGCAAAGGAAGAATGAGTTGGAAATGACTTTAATCGACGCCAAGATTATGGAGAGCGAGACACTCGTGGAGAACGAGTCGTTTGATTTGGAACTCATAGATAAACGGATCGCTTCTCTTCGCCGCCAATCGGATGAAAGGGACGCAAAGATCGACGAAATGGTGCGACAGGAGAACGAACAGAAGGAACTCTTAGAGAAACTGAGATTAGCTGAAGACAAGCAGATGGATATCATCAACACGGAGGCCAAGACTTCGCGCCAAATAGCCATTAAATTGGAGAACATTGAGAAGAAGTACAACGAGTGTACGAGAAAGCTGTCAAAAATGGGTATTTATTTCCATTCAATTGTATTGTGAATTGTATTTGAATTTTGCTCTCGTTTTAGGAACAATTCCGACCGATTGTGACACCGATTACCAGAATATGAGTCTTTCCGATGAGTACAGAGAGCTCCAGAAATGCAAACACAAGTTGTCTCGACTCACAAATGTTAATCAGAAAGCGTTGGATCAGTTGAATGAAGGGCGCGAAAAGGCGCGGCTCCTGTTGGTGGAGAAAAGGGAAATCGATTTCGCGTATGAATCCATTCAGCGATTACTCGAAACTCTAGAGCACCAGAAGTACGAGAAAATTCAAGTGACTTATAAGTCGGTCTCCAAGCACTTCATTGAGATCTTCAAAGTGTTGGTACCGGAAGGGAAGGCATTCATTGATATGGTTTATAAGGACACTGAGAATAGCGCTGCCGGCTCTCAGAATAGTCAAGAGTCCCAGTCATCCGGTGGTATCTCGAGCTCAGGTATGATAGCCCTCACTGACTATGTAAACAGTTTACCGAATGAACACATTTTGAACGTCAGCTCCGGGCCAGACGCTGACATTCAATCAAATCGATAACTTTGTTGGCGTCAAAATCCGTGTGGCCTTCACGGGAACCACTGTTGTGAAGGAATTGAATCAGTTATCCGGTGGCCAGAAGTCAATCGTAGCGCTGGCTTTCATATTTGCGATCCAACGGTGCGATCCGCCGCCCTTTTACCTCTTCGATGAGGTGGACTCCGCTCTCGACCCCACTTATCGCAAGGCACTCGCAGGTACTCATGATTTCTAGCAAATAATGATCACTGTTTTGTATTTAATTGTTTTAATGTTTTAGATTTGATCGATAGTATGTCGAAAGCGTCTCAATTCATTACCACAACATTTCGTTCAGAACTGCTCGGAAGCGCTCATAAGTTCTTTGGCGTTAAGTTCAGAAATAGAGTAAAACTTTTCTCGTTTGTTGTGTTAAAGTATATGCAGTTATTTGAGTGATATTTAATTGATAGATCAGTCATATCGAGGAAATCAGCGCAGAAATGGCTCACGAGTTCGTCGAATCAGATGAGGCCAGAGATGATAGGAATCAGTCGCGAAGGAGGACAGGCACTAGAAGTGTGAGGTTTGACACGACTGCAGACACTTCGGCCATGATATTGGATGACCAGTGAATCAATCAATTGTTTTCATGGATTTCTTAGTCTCAAACATTATCACAATTTATTCATTAATTGAAATTTTAATGCAGTTCATTGCCATTACAGTTATGCCATTTTTTATAGTCTAATTCAATTTTTAAATGAGTGTTATTATTACAGAATTACCTATAAGTTCATGAATTTGTAAATCAAAACAATAAATGAAATAACAAACAAAAAGCTAATTTCCTATTATTACGATCAATAACTTTGTTTGGAATTTATATTTGATTACCTATAAGATTTATAATCCAAAAAATTTACAAAAAATACTTCATTAAAAAATATTTCAATAATTTTTGCTTTAATTTATTTGAATAAAAAACAAATTTAGAAATTAATAAAAATCACCTTAATATGAATTTATTGTCCAATGATATCGTAATACTCTATAGTTAATTAAGTGACAAATTATAAATAATTAAGTTATTAAAGTGAACTCAAATGATATAATTTTTTAACATGAATTAATAAATCAATAGACTTATTTGCTTTTCTAAATATGTTCTTTGCGTCAAATCAAAATAAAATGTTGCAATTCTGTGACAATAGTACTATACAGTACACGCAAATTCAATACAATGTTTCAGTGCTTGTGAAACAAAACTTCTGTTTAATCACAAATGGGAGAGATTTTGTTAATTATTGTATATTAACATTCAATTGGAAAGTATTTTGTGAACAATTTCTAGTGAATGAAATTATTTTATAAAAATCAAACTTCAGATATGAGAGAATGAGAATTGAGATATTTTTGCTTATTTTCATTCATATTCTGTTGTTTTACGGAATTATTGGTAATTTATAAGTTATTTGTCTTTGATTTTACTATAAAACTAAATTAATTGACAGAATCTACTGATGAGTCCACCGACAGTCCTCCTTCTCCACCACCCGATGAAGAGGTCCATAAAAGCAAGACTGTTATAGAAAATAGGGAACGGTATGGCGGGGATATGATGGGAATAATGCCCCAACAGCCTAACCAAAAGGTATTTCATAACCAATATAAGTTAATCTTGGACCATTTAAAAGCATAATTTAGTGTTACTCAGGGATTAGCGAGAAAGGCCGCCTCAGCTAATAATAAGAAATGGCCAAATGGTAACATGATATATAGGTTCGCACCAAATGCTGGCTTTAGTGGTGAGTAGTCTACAGAATACAGAATAAATTCTTTGAATGTATATTCAATATAACGTACAGATTATGAGAAGTCAGTCATACAGTCGGCTATGAAAGAGATCGAGAGTGTGTCGTGTATTCAATTCAAAGTCAGAGCAAATCAAAAGGATTTTATTCACATTATTAAAGGCCAAGGGTTTGTAAATGCGAGCGCCTTTCCTATCAATCAAATTGAGAACTTAATTGTTTTGAACCATAATTATAGCTGTTATTCATATGTGGGACGAATCGGCGGCTCGCAGGAGCTATCCCTGGGCAGAGGCTGTGTATACAAGGGAACGGTAATCCATGAGCTGATGCACGCCATGGGCTTCTATCACGAACACATGCGCTCCGATCGGGACTCCTATTTGATAATCCATTTGAATCACGTAATGAAGGGAATGAACGCCAACTTCGAGAAGAACCCGTCGCACGTGAACCGACTTTTGGCTAAATTTGATTACGAGTCCATTATGATATACTCCTCATTTGCTTTCTCAAAGGACGGACAGATGACCATGGAGCCCAGGGACAAACACCACCGGCTCAAGGAGCCCTACGATAAAACGCATATGACTCAGTTGGACGCGCAGAGTATTAATAAGATGTACAACTGTCCCAACAAACAAGCGGCCAATTAGTACTAGATTATGGTAATTACATGTTTATTAATAAATTATCATTGTGAGAATAAATAATATTTGCGAATTTATAAGAATTTCATTTATTTAAATTGGTGTTAGAAATTACAATTTTTATATTTTAAACATTTATGAAATAGACTTTGTGTCGGAAATGTATTTAAATTAATATAATTCTCTAAAATGAGTGGTGTTTAGCCTTAATGTTCAGTTGAGCCCTAAAAGGGTTTGATTCACTTTTATCTTTGAATTTGAAGTCAAGAATTTTCTTTTTGCCACTTCTTTGTGACACATTCTGGAAGATTCTTTCGGCCCATTCTTCGTGTTTCTTGTGGTCACACGTATGACACGATTTCCTATATTTCTTACCAACGACTTCATTGGGTTTGTATACAAAACGCTTGTGTTTTGAGGGTAATTGGCATTTTGTAGACATTAATCTACACAGAGTTTTTCCAAATGATTGACAATTAGTTGACATATTTGTTGAACTTTTTGGAAAATTTTTATCTCATATTGGATATGGTTTGGAAAATTTCAAATTAATTTTTCTACAATCTCGCTATAAGATTAAGTTATTGTATTATTGCAATTAAACGCTAATCATATGATATGAAATACTGTATATCTTATAATGTTCAGATACAATTGATAGGAAACTCGAAATCAGATCTTTATTGAATTAAAAAAATATTGAAAAAATGCTTACCTTAAATAGTAAGAATGAATTATTTTATTGATATACCACTGAATTAATAAACATTTTTGGAGTAATGAGACCATTGGCACAGAATATGACATCGTTTTTGTACTGTTGGGACATTGAAATCAAATCGTTATAAGAAATTCCTCCCAAAATGAATACAAATAACTTTCGTTTGCGAGTACTTCTAGTTTTAGACTTCTTTTCGTAGATCTTTGGGAAATGGTTGTTAGACAACGTGTTGTCAAAATAGTTTGAGACAATTGTGGCTATAATTGAGTGATTGACTGAAATCTCTGACAAATTATTGACAGACTTTTTGCACAAATCTACAAAATCTTTAATTACTGTCCAATCGATGTCGCGATCCTTTTCCTGCTGTTCGACGATATGTTTCAAGTCTTTAGTCTTCATATCATTGCAAAGCAATTGTTTTAATATTAAGACTCTAATGAAGTCATAGTCTGTCACTTCTCTATCATTTTTGGCAAACAATTTCTTTAATCTTTTGTTTCTGTCATTAATTCCTGATTTGTGATCAGATTTTGTATCAAATAATGATCTCTCGATTTGCAGCAATTCAGTGAAACTCCTATTTTGTATTTTTGCGATTATTTTCTTTCCATTTCTAATGTTTTTATTTGTCTTTTCAATCAATTCTTCATTCTTTTCATTGTATCAAATAATGATCTTTCGATTTGCAGCAATTCAGTGAAACTCCTATTTTGTATTTTTGCGATTATTTTCTTTCCATTTCTAATGTTTTTATTTGTCTTTTCAATCAATTCTTCATTCTTTTCATTCAAATCCTTTTCTTTGATTTCATTCAATATATTAATTATTTGCGATTTTTCATTGACTGAAATATTCTGCAATTTTCTATAATCAGGATTCATATCATTTTCATAGACTGTTTCCAATTCATTGTAAACAAATGGTCTGAACTCCAAGCGATGGCACAATGGAGTGATTATATCAATGGTTCTGTCGATTATCAAAAGCTCAAAATTCTTGTTATGTTTGCTTTCATTGGATTCCTTGCGCTTATTGGCTATAATTGTCATCTCTTTTAGCACTGTTTTGCCAATCAATTGATTGGTTTCATGAAAATTACTGTTAAAATTGCGAATAATTGCCGGAAATTCTGCCATTTGCTCGAAAATATTGACCAAACGCTTTGAGATCTTTTGAATCATAATCTGATCGACACTTGTCTGCGACAACCAATTCATGTGAACGTTATTATCGATGAGGACTATGTTGTGGTCAATGCATTGAAAGGCTCCCAATTGACTGATGTTTGAAATTCTTGACAAACTTCTCAATCGATTGACTCTTGTTTTGTCGATTTCACTCAATATATAAGTGGAAAATACAGAATAACTTGCGCTTTGTTTTGTCGACAAATTGTTTATAAAGCTTTGAAACTCATTATTTGTCATTTCATTCAAACAAATCAAATAAATTAAATGATATCTTCGTGTCATCTCTTGTGGCAAAATATCTCTGATGTTGTATTCACACGATATGCCAATCGGTTCCTCTTTAAGAATCTTCAAGTTTATTATATCCAACAAAAGGGCACGACTTTTGGCATCAGTCTACTCTTAGAATGGTATTTAACTTACTGAATATGGGAATTCTTATAAGAGCATTAACTAGAAATTAACTCACTAACCAAGGTTCTTAGAACAGAATATCTACCGTGTGTTATAAACTAAGTTTATTTTGCCGCCTTTCCTCTTGACATGTGAATCAATGGTCTGCCAAATGGTATTCGAGTGGAAGCCGTGAATACTTTCCAAATCTTCTTCTGTGTCATCGATTTGAATGAAAGCCACGTCTGTCTGGCATTTCTCAAAGGGAACCATCTTTTTAAACATTTCCAAATCAAACTTTTTTGTACTTTTATTTGGATTAGTAGTCATCGCGAATTGAGTTTGTTAATTTATAGACAAATTTTTATGATATTCACCCTATTTTTAAACATACGACCGGTTTGTTAAATTGGTTAGTCGTTGTACGTTTAATTTGAATATATAATATTGTTAGCATAATTGTTAAATGCAACTTAATTGATAAAATTACTGATTTCAAAATGATCAATATTGAAATTGAAAAATTACTTCTTTATAGAAGTATAAAACGTTGATTAAAATTAATTATCAGTCATGAATTGAGAAATGGATATGTATATATATATTGACCAGCGGTAATGGGATTTTGTAAGATTTATGCAAATTCTCGGGTGTCATACGGCTACTTATTTTAAGACTAACCCTTTATGGCAGCCTCGGTAGCGCAGTAGGTAGCGCGTAAGTCTCATAATCTTAAGGTCGTGAGTTCGATCCTCACCCGGGGCAGTCTATCATTTTTAATTTTTTAATTCAAATTATTGTCTGCAGACTAAAGTACTCATCAATTATTCAATCTTGAAAGGTTTCCTTTTGAAAATGAACTCATAAAACTGACTATTAATATTAATATTTGATAAAAAATCAATTTTTAATTAGAAAGTTAGAGTTATCATTTTTGTTTGGATTAGTAGTCATCAGGAATTGTGTCTCAAAATTAATTTTCAGACAATTATTTCCGAATTTAAACGTATTTTAAACATTGTACTTCAAATTGTTTAGTCGTTAAGTATTTGAATATAAAACATTAAACACCTTAATTATTAAATGCAACTTAATTTGTAAGATTATTGTTACACAATTATCGATATTCTTTTATTACTGTATAAAAAGTTAATTGATTAAAATTATTTTTTAAATAAAGAATTATCTCCTGAAATACGGTTACATAACGGCAACCAATTTCAAGAGTGTAGACGCTATTAATGATGGCCTTAAAGACTTTCAAGCATTTTATCGACTCCCGGTCACGGGTTTAATTCTATTTTTAATTTTTTAATTCAAATTATTGTCTGCAGACTAAAGTACTCATCAATTATTCAATCTTGAAAGGTTTCCTTTTGAAAATGAACTCATAAAACTGACTATTAATATTAATATTTGATAAAAATCAATTTTTAGTAGAAAAGTTAGAGTTAGCATTTTTGTTTGGAGTAGTCATCAGGAATTGTTTCAAAATTAATTTTTAGACAATTATTCCCGAATTTCAACGTATTTTAAACATTGTACTTCAAATTGTTTAGTCGTTAAGTATTTACATATAAAACATAAAACACCTTAATTATTAAATGCAACTTAATTTATAAGATTCTTGTTACAAAATTCTCGATATTCTTTTATTACTGTATAAAAAGTTAATTGATTAAAATTATTTTCATTTATTTCTTAATAGAGGACTTTATGCCAATGTATTGCCGTTGGTTAAAGTTCTCACATCTGCGATAATTACTACCGGAATTTCTGAAAGTTCGTAAAATAGCTGAGGGCCAGTGCCCAAATTAAGAATTGCAATAATATACTGTATAAACAATTAATCATTTATTTTTATTATTATAAGGAGTGTATGACCAAAAGACCAAGGATCTAATGAGTAAGAGTCGGTGTGGAAACGTGGACCCCGTGCGTCAAGTGGTTAAAACTAAGCCGAGCCCACGATTCATGGAAATGCCTGAAATGCCAAAAGCCGGTTATGTACTCCAGGGCAGCAAATGGACAAACTATAAGCTCACGTATAAAGTCACTGATTGGTCAGAGAAGGTGTCCAAAGAAGATGTGCTCAAAGCGCTGGACATGTCATTCAAGGTGTGGTCGGCCGTCACTCCCCTTAGATTTATATACGTGGCGGACAATCGTAGCTTTCATGTGTAGCTGTAGTCCAAGCGGTGTTTTTAGGTAACGACGGTAAACCGGAGAGGGACCTCGAGTGTCAAACTACCGGGCCCTCCATAATACCGAGTGTGCCTCAAGGGCGTTATACCCCCCGATCTTCATGTGGACGACGATGAGAACTGGGCCCTCGACTACAACTTCACGAACCCGTCCGGTCTGTCACTTTTTAGCTCATATATACGCCTACAGTATATATACACAACTTATTTGTATTTGATCTATAGTTATATCCCTTCGCCACACATTGATTCATGAAATTGGTAATCAAATTTAATATGAAATACTAGATGACTCCGACTAATCGTACATTTATGTAACATTTGAGTGCATGTATAGGTCATGCCCTGGGTCTGCACCACTCGAATAATATGAATTCAATAATGTATGCATTTTATGGCACTTCTAACACTAATTATTCTCTCAATTCTGATGATAAGACAGGCATAAGAATATTATATGGCAATGAAACCATTAAATTGCCATAAAAACTGTTT